TCAAACGATTAATCGCGATTAATCACATCCAAAATAAAAGTTTTTGTTTACATAATATACGTGTGTGTGTGCGGTGTATATTTATTATCGATATATAAATACACAAATATGCACGTATATATTTAAGAAGAATATGTTATGTTTATATATTAAATATATATATATATATATATATATATAATATAAATTATATGAATATAAATATAGATATGTAAATACATAATAAATATACACAGAACACACACATATATTATGCAAACAAAAACTTTTATTTTGTATGCGATTAATCGTGATTAATTGTTTGACAGCATTATTTGAAGTAAATGCTGCTCCATCTCTGCATGTTTTTTGAGATTAAGTCGCTTATAATGTGCATTTGGGAATGCAACATGCACCAAACATAGATATGTATATGACCTTTTAGTGGCTTTTTCTATCAGCGGCTGTACGTCAGCAGTCTGCCATATTGGAATGGTCAAAAATGCTCTGTGAACACTCTAGAAAGTTGACTGTATGTCTGCAAACCTAGTTATACACATATCTGTATCTGCAAGAGACTTTAGCAGATGATTTCGCTGAACTAACACAATACAACAAGACGAAGCCGTTAGCTAACACGACATTTAAAAGGTGTCCTCTTTAAAAACCTTTAATTAATAATTTAATTCTTACCTGTGAAAGTATGTCCCATTTCTTCAGTTGCAAGGGGGGCGGATGCGTCGACATGTCTGGAGCAGTGGAATGTGGCATCTACCCACCTATTAGATGCAACCATATTTTCTGTAAATTAAAAAAAAAAAAGTATTACATGTACATTTCAATTAAACAGTGTCAGTTTAAAATCTAATTTTAATGTCAAACATTAATGTCAACAAATATTTCAAAAATCAATATTTTGGTCAATATTATTCCACTGACATTCTTTGCTGCCCTTTGTCAGGTTGACACGCTGTCTGGGTGAGTCTTTATGCAGGGGTTAGTGTATTTTAAATGTTTTTCTCACAAAGGTTTTTTTTTTTTACCATGGAAAATTGACGTTGCCGATTGATTCAGGCACACAGAACTGACTAATTGATAAAGGAATTCCTTATTTATTTTCATTATTGATTACCAATTTTTACAGTATGGTTATTGACGTTATTATTTTCAGTATCAATTGTTTGTTGCAGCCCTAATAATCTAGATTGGTCATGAAAAGCAATAATGGTTCTAATGAAAGGAGCTCCAGATGACGGTTACGACACTATTAAATCAAATTTGTTAGATATAATTTTGTCTTCTTTCATAAGAAGTACTGAATGCATTAAAACTGGATGTACTACACTGTCAAAGGAATCCATATAGATTTATTTAGAGCTAAATTTCAGCTAATTCAGAATGTAAGATTGATTGGGTTAACTGCAACAAAAAAAGAAATGAATCCTAATGAATTATTTGAATCTATTGACTAGTGTACTGTATAGTGAGACAAGTTAATTTCATGATTTAATTGGCTTCATTACCAGACGGTTGTATAACTCTTGAGTTTGTTTCCTTTTTCCCCTAGTCTTTCACCTTTTTTATCTCCTCTCTTTTCCTCTATCTAAGCATCTCTTTATCTCTTCATCTCACCCTCCATCTATCGTTCTCTCTATCTCTCCCTCTTCTCTTTCATTTGTCCTCTGAGGCCTTCTCTCTTTTCTTGGTGGTCGATGAATGTTTAGCTAAAACATGGGGGCGGTTTTGGAAAGTGTTTCTTTTTGTTTTGTCCTTCATGCCTCTTTAAATGTATTTCTACTGAGCAGCCGTTTGTTCTCAAGCTGTTTCATGTATCGTGTTACAAAGAAATTGCACCACTGAAATTAAAGTTTAGAGTACATTTGAACTGCTGTTGTTTGTTTTCGGTTTCATCTCCTCTGTTCTGTTCTCTTTTTTTGTTCTTTGTGTGTGTGCAGTGTGCTTTGAGTGAGTTTTTGAGATTACTGAGTGTGTGTGTGTGTGATATTGTGAAAGTAAGCAGAGATGGATGAGAAGCTGTACCAATCTCTGGCACGGCCCCACCCCGGCCTGGAGCTCAGTTACTCCAGCTCATCTGAAGAAGAGGATGGTACCAGCCTTCATCACAAACACTATAGGGAATCACACACCCGCACCGATTATGAGCCTGACCGCAGATTCACCTACAACAGCCACAAAGTCCGCAGGAAACCCTTGGAGCAGCCCCAGAAAGGTAGGGCCTACTGTTTGTGTGTCAGGATTGTGTGCCATTCAGAATAGAATGTTTTTTTTAAAGTAAATTTAAAAAATGTTTTTAAACAATAAAAACAAATAGTTTTTTGAAATTTAAAGAATATCATATGTTTTTGAAAGAAATCTTGTATGTTCACCATAGCTGTATTTATTTGATCAAAATACAGTTGCAATTTAAAATAACTTTTTTTTTTAATTCATAATAACTGTATTATAGGGCTGGGCGATATGGCAAAAAATAAAAATCTCGATTTTTTTTTCAGAACATTTAACTGATTCTCGTTTTTTTTAATGATTTTTAACTAGTCAACTTCAAAATGTAACTACAACATGATTCAAGAAACTTTTTCTTTATTAACCCTCTAGTTAAAGAAAATTCTATTCCAAGTGCACCACACATGAAGTTGTGAACATTATGCAAATGTTAAAATAAATTTTACAAATCACTTGTTAAATATCTTTGCAGAAAAGATGCATGAACTACAACTACATCTTGTACAAACTTGTCTTATACATTTTATATGTTCAGAAATAATACAAGGACAATGCTTTAAAAAAAATCTCAAAAGTCTATTTCAAAATGATTGAAGGTATAACACCAGTAGACTATTATTAACTATAACAACAGCAGCTTTCAGCCTGTCACCATGATGCAAACATGAAATATCAGACATAGAGTAGTAGTTCTTTACAGGTTTTTTATTTGCTTGTGCTGCTTTTCCATTGTTTTTCTATGTAAACATGGACTGTTGCACTCACATCTTTTGCAGTGTCTGCAGTGTCATAAAATGTTAATTCTAAAATGCATTCTAAAAACGCGGCACTCAAATTAAAAGAAGTTCACTCCCATCTGCTTGCATGTTTTTCCTATTGCACTGCCCACGTCGCATCTTTGTCAACACCAAACTGCATTCTGTGTGAATGGTGAATAGCGATATATAAATGACTTTTCATCAAACCACTGCATCCTTTCTGAATAAACATTACAATAAAGTCTTACTGTAATCTCGAAAATTAAAGTTTGTCAAGAAAGAGATTATGGCAATAACAAATAAAAATAAAGCAACTAGTAATGCTTATTTAAAAATTAAAAAAACACACAAAAAATAAGAATAGAATTGTTGCAGTATATAGTTTTTTATTTAATATGTAGAGTAGCTTCATTCATATATAGTGATCAACTCATATAACGCGTAATGGATGTCAAACGAAATTTCCACAAGGATATGTGTGCATGCTTGCTTGTGTTTGAGTGAGAGAGACAGCATTAAAGGGGTCATATGATGCGATTTCAAGTTTTCCTTTCTCTTTGGAGTAGGGATGTAACGATTAACCACCCATAATTAATGTCCCTCTACATTTAGTAGATGGGCACTGGAGCTGTTATCATAAGCATCTGACATTGCATGAAAGGCTGCATTATCTAAAAGAGATCATAGTTCCAGAGTTGTTTTGTTTGTTGTTGTTGATGGTTGCTTTAATGAAAGTGATTATATGGCATCATTTCTTAGTGAGGAACAGGATTCTTTGAAAACACTCACTGTAAATTGAAATGAGCCATCAACTGACACACACACACACACACACCAAACATCAAACACTATTGTCATTAAATAATAATGGGATGTGTGTTTTACTTTTGAATAATGATTTACAATTTAAATTTAAATAATTTTAATAATATAATTTATTTCACCCTTTATTCTTCTGCCTTTGATATTCTACATTCATGGAGGCATTTTTCTTGTCTGAGTCCCAAGGTTGGAATATTTCCATTAATTAAAGGATTCCCCACAACTAAAGAACACACACAAGCAATGTTCCCTTTCATTTTTATTCTTGCTGAATAGAATTTAGTTCTGTTGAACCGTTCACCCTCCTAAACAGATACATTTGTGGTATATGTAAATTGTTTTTGATAAAAAATCTAAATTACATTAATAATATAAAAAACTCCTGAATGATTATCTATTATGTATTATATACATCATTAAATATGTATGATTAAATTATAGATAATTAATAAAAATATATACTTAATAATAAATGATGTTATCCAAATGGCATACATTTTATTTGTTTACTTGTTTAAACAAAACAAGACAGAAAAATAATAACGCATGGGCTCTGTGGGTTTCCTTTTGCAAATTATCAACTCCACACAGCACTTCTCAAAGCTTCATGCTCATACTGAAAATAAAAACTCATTGGACATGCAGAAAGTTGAAATGGTGCCCATTCATTTAGTTGTGATTCAAGAAATGTCAAGCTGTTTCGAACATATATTTACTCTCAGCACTGAATTTTACTTCTCAGCTGTTCAAAGGCGCGCGCTGTAGCCTGTATCCTTTCATTATCAAAGTGCGAAATAAACTACGTGCATGCAATGTCGTGGTCAGTTAAGTCATGAAGTTACCAAAAAGGCGATTAAAGCTGCCTTAAAACTGTGCATGCATGTAATATATTTTATATGAGTCACATTTAAGAACATGTCTCTGAAATGGTTTTCAAAACTGTCCTGGAGCAGCCCAGCACTGTCTCACTCATCTAACACACCCGATTTAACTCGTCAGCTCATTAATAGAGACTTTAAGACCTGAAGTGGGTCAGAAAAGGTAAAAAGAGTTGAGAGAAAATATGATGCGTCCGATCCGTGTCACGTTCAGCAGCGGCAGCTCTTAAAGAAACCGCACCCAAAATAACTAGCTGCTGTGATGTCTGTTAATCAAAGGACAAAGAAAAAAAGAGGAAAAAAATAACTTTTATAGCTTTAAAGATTCATCTATATTTAATTTAGAATTTAGTGTTTGATAACTAAATTAGAAGTTATTTTTTAAGGTCTAATAAATGTTAAAATTGATTGCTCTCAATTATACTGTAATGTTGAATGGCTATAGTCAATGGTTAAATATTAGGGGTGGGGGGCAATTTTATAGAGAAATCAGTATTGGTATTATGGCATTCAGTCATAAAAAAAGATGCCATTAAACAAATATTAAAAATATACTGTTATATGTTCATGTACAAATATATGTTGTTTGTACATTCATTTAAAGATTGAATGTGAAATTATTGCAATATAAAAGTATATATAAAAACTTTAATGTTAGGTGGGATTAATCGTGATTAATTTCAGAAAAATGTGCGATTAATTAGTTAAATGTTTTAATCGATTGACAGCACTAATATATATATATATATATATATACATACAGTATATAAAATATTTATATACATACATAAGGCGGTGGTTGTGCAAGTTACAGTGAGGCTTTTTGTTTCCTCAATGGAATTATTCAAATGCTACATGCAGAACAAAACATTCCGTTCCAGTTACCACAGAAACAGCATTATAAAGAGAGAGAGGGATAGAGCGAGAGATGGAAATGGAGACAGAGAGAGAGAAAGGAGGAGAAATGGAAAGAGATGTAAAGAAAGGTCTTTCACCCATTCCTCTTACCCTAGCTTTTTCCATCCGTGTCTGCTCATGGACGAGTGTGTATGTGTGTGTGGGTCAGGCCGAGAAGCAGGGGGTCATGTTCTCAGTGAAGGACAGAGAAGTGCATCGTGGGCAATTAGTACTGAGATGATTAGAGCAGGGAGAGCAGTGAGAGGGGTCGCCACGGAGACAGGAGTCAGAGTGGCAGAGGAGAGGAATCTTAAGGACACTTGAGTAAAGAGCTCACTTCTCACACGCACACACAGGTCTGAAAAATCACACTTCCTGAACACACACTTAGTGCTACACACTTCCAGAAAAACCCATCAAGAGCCCATCACCTTTACCTGAACAAATGAAGAGAAGAAATGTGAAAAGAAGAGAATATTTAAGGCCAAGAGAAGAAATGAGATGAGATGAAGAAAAGAAATGACATAAAATAAGAAGAGGCAGCACAAGATGCAAAGAGATTGAGAGAAAAGAGAGAAAGAGACTGAAGTATGCTACGAGTATGTACATACACTTGCTCAAAGTGCAGTTCCCTAACTAGTCCAAAAAGGCCAGTCAGGATGTGATGAGATGAGAAAAGAAGACGAGGAAATGGGAACAGATGAGATGAAAAGGGACTGGATGAAAAAAGAAGAGAATGACAGCGAGAGTTAAATAAATTAAAAAAATTATCTTAAGAGACCTTTATAATGTTACAAAAATATTTTTCAAATAAATGTATGCATTTGAACATTCTATTAATTAAAGAATACTTTTGCAATAATTGATTCCTCAAAAATATTAAGCAGCACAACAGTCTCCAACAGTTTCATTTTATAGTTATATCAGTTATAATATTTTTTTGCCTCATTCTGTAATAAGAAGCAACATCAGGTCACAAAATGAAATTATTTCAAACACTCATCTGATGTTGTGGGGTAAAATCTTGTTCTTAAATGTTCTCTTTCATTGGATAACGTTTCATATAAAAATAATAATTTCTGAAGGATCATGTGACACTGAAGACTGGAGTAATGATGCTGAAAATGCAGCTTTACCACCACATTTTAAAATATATTCAAATGGAAAACAGTTATTTTGAAGTGTAATAATATTTCACAATATTAATGTTTTTACTGTTCATTTGATTGAAAAAAGCATAACATACTTTTTCAAAGACGACTAGTAAATAACACTTTGTTATATATAAAAACATACATTTTTAAACTGTATTGTATGTCTGTCGCTAAATGTTATCAATGCTTTGACAATATAAAACTGACAATATAAAAAAAATGTTAAAAAATTTTACCATGCCAATAAAGCTACTTCAGAGAATCTTTAGAGAATGTGGTTTGTGTGTGCATGCTAGAGTGAGTTGATGTACTGTAAGCCTAAAAATGAGAGAGAAAAGTAGTGCTAGTACACACACACATTGAGTTTCTGTGTATGAGTGTGCTAGTGTGTAAACCCATATGTCTCCTACACTCTGAGATTCTTGGGGGAATTTAAATGGTTTTCACATTTTGTGCAGTTAAAAGCAGAATTCTTTTTTGTTAAATATTTATTTGAGGTTTTATAAGCCATTCTCCATCTCTGAAGACAGAACAAAATTGTTTCTCAGCCAGGCTCCAGAAATCTCAGCAGTCAGTACACAGCTCCAGCACTGAACTCTAATCCACTAGCCTATGTGTGTGTGTACTAAAACTTTGATTTGTGCAGTACATTTCATTAATTTATTCCTTTCTCTTTCTGATTTTCACAGATTTCTCGGACCCCTCCCAGACCGGGTTCCCTGATTTCCAGACCGAGCTTCATGCGGCCAATCAGGAGCTCGCTTATCCTGGAGGCGTGTCTGCCGGTGTCTCTTCCGATCCCGAATCCGAGGGCGGCGCCTCCCCTGACCACGCCCTACGGTTGTGGATGCAGGAAGTGAAGTCAGAGCACAGTTCCTGTCTGTCAAGCCGAGCAAACTCTGTCCTGTCTCTCACCGATACGGAACAAGAGCGCAAGTCTGAGCCAGAGAACGGTACAAGATTATTTGATATTATTACATATTATATTATTACACATTTTTTGTAGGTCAGCCAGATTATGGTGGTGATGATGATGTTCAATAATATTTCATTCTTGTGTGTGCGGGTTACTCTAGAGTGCCCTCATCAGTGTATGACTTTACAATTTTAATGAGAGTTGCCGCAGAGGGAGATACACACGCAGTTAAACAGACTTCCTAGTCTTGCTGCGCACACACACTCTCACACACACACACACACACACACACACACCACTTTCTCTACGCTACTCAGTGATGCAATATTTATGCGGTGCACTAATAACTACTTCGGTCTGTAAACTACACTCCATTATCTCACACTCATACTCTCACACACATTAAGGTTATGTTCTTGTTAAACACACTTACATAAGGTTTTATTTGATTGACGTCTGCGGGAGCAGACCATTGTCTTGGTGATGATTTGGTACATCTGGTCATGTAGCACTTTCATCTCTCCACACAAAGGATTCCTACTTCTCCAGATCTGGAGTTTTCTCCACAGTCGTTCCTCGCACATCAGAGTTGGTGCTTGTAGTGTTTTTGTCTTCAACTGTAATACTTGACTTGGATCCACTATCTGCTTTTTTGCTTTGCATCTCTCTTCCACGCACATAATGTATGCGCTGTCTTATCAAAGTCGCTTTGATAAGAAAGTGCCTGCCGAGAATATAAATTCAAATGTGAGCGCCAACAGTATGATGTAGCGTCTGCGTAGAATCATGCATGATCTTTGGGGTTTTATGGCTTAAGAGACCCTTTTAGCTTTTGACAATTGCATATAAATTACAGTCCTGGTCACAGACTTTACACTTATATGGGTGCTAAATGGCCAATGGTTCCCCCCACTATCAAGGAGATGCTAAACAGTTTCACCACTCTCGTCTCCCCATTGAACTTCAAACACATTCCAAAGAGACGTAAATGACCCTCGGGGCCAGGCACCAATGGGCCTGGCTGACCAAGCAAACTAACACACACACACACACACACACACACACACACAAACACACACACGTAAAGACCTTTACTCTATTTAGACAATAATTGAGCAGTTACAAATATATCTGGTATATTGCATGTGTTGTTTGTACGTTTCCCTATTAGATTAGCTGAGTTACCACTCGTTATTTGTATTAGTTAAAGCCCTAAACACTGATATTCAGGTGTATGGATGTATTATTAATCATAACCAGTTATAATTAGTCATAAATATTTCCTTGTTGAGCTGATTTACTACAATGATAACGCTAAAACAGTGTTATATCAATTAGTTAACTGCTAAATAATTGCCATATCATGGAAAACATGGAACTACTTACTTTTTGTAATGAAAGAGTTTTATACACTCTGCTCGGGTAGCCTTCCCAACATTAGGAAAAAGTCTCTGGAGTTTCATTTTCATTTATTTCACTTAAAAATAAAAATAGGCATTATTTACTCATTCTCTCGTCAATGCATCCATCATCTTGGAATGTGTCGATGGTCAGTTGAGGTTTTAAACGAAATCAGGGTGAAAAACAGAATTTTCATTTTAGGGTGAACTAGAGGTGGGCAATATGACCAAAATCTTATATCATGATATAAGTAATTTTATTTCAACGTAAAAATATATATTATGATATAGTTAAATATATAATTTTTGCTTTAAAGGGGTCATATGATGCGATTTCAAGTTTTCCTTTCTCTTTGGAGTGTTACGAGCTCTTGGTGCATAAAGACGGAAAAACGCAGGGACCCGGCCCGGGCGGGGTCTGGGTGTGTGTAACACTGACCTGCGTTTCGAGCAGAGGGTGCGTGGGTAGTCCGTTGGTTCGTCTTTCCACCAGGTTTGGCGGGGGCCTGGACGGGCGGGGCGCCTGCCCTGCGATCGGCTCCATGGCGCAGCTTTGCTGGAGGCCGCAGGAGCGGGGCGGTGACAGGGGGGCCGCCCTCGGCGACGGCAGCAGCTGCACGCCGGGGCAGGATGTACCTGATGGCCTCAGTCTGCTTTGGTCAGC